CTGCGCCACCAGGGAAGCCCAAGGCAGCTGTTTTTTCCATTATAATACAGACTGCCCTTAAACAGTTTTTACTGTGTTCAGTTGTGGTGTGAAAATACGATGAGCTGGAAACTTGGTAACTTTAGCTTCCCAGGTGAACCTTAATAGGAGAAAGGACTAAGGTCAGGGTTAAGGGGACATATTGGTCACCTTAGGCTACATAATGTTGCAGGTTGCGGTAACAAACAACTCCGGAAATCTCAGTGGCTCACAGCAGCAAAGGGTTGTTTCTCACTCATCCTCCATCCACTGTGGGTTGGCTACGGCGACGGCTCTGTCATCTCCACTGAAGGAGCAGCCGCTATCCAGGAGGTGCTGGTCTCATGTCAGAAGGAAAACAGCTATGGCAGAACCACCAGAAAGCTCTTGAAGCTTCTGCTTGGATGTTGCACAGCCCCTTTTTTTTCACTGACATTTCATCGGCCAAAGCAAGTCAGTGTGGTTAAGCCTGACACCACTGGGGCAGGAAGAGTAATAAAATCAGGGCCAGCCCGATTGGGAGAGGCCAGCGTGACTATTCTAAGTAATTAAGAGAGTCTCTCATAGGGCAGGTAGTCCTCTGTGTGTCCTGTGTGAGCTGTGTTTAGAAATCAAAGGCAACGAGAGAAGGGGAGCTGCTCGGGGTCCTTGGCTCCGTAGCTCCAGAACCCTCACTCTGCTGCTCTGAGCGGGCTGTATGACTCACATTAATACAAGAGGGTCATGCATGTGATCCAGGCATCCCCATGCTGGGCCAGCTCAGGGTAGATCCAGAGGCAGCTGGATGGCAAAGACTGAACCAGGGACAGTGGTTCCTTCTGAGGGATGTTGCATCTGGGCTCACAAAACTTGGCTCAGCCATCGCCACCTCCCAGGCAGACGGCACACACACAGCACAGGGCATCTTCCCCAGCTAGCGGCAGGCCTGTGCTGCCAGCGCCGTCCTTCCTGGGCTCCATCCTGACCTTGCGTGTCTTGGCCAAGGGAGGAGATCCCTGTGGTATCGGGACTTGGCGGGCGCCTAACCTGTCTCACTAACCCCCACCCCCACCCCCAACAGGTGATTGCTTAGTGTGGGTCTCTGAACAGAAGGTTCATCTCCATTCATCTCAGGTCCAGACGTTTTCCTGGAATTTCAGGGATGCTTTGCTGCTCCACTGCCAACACGTGCTTGCTTAGTTAAAAACCTAGAACTTGGTTACAGCTTGACTACGTTGCCGAGCTGGTGGGCAGTGTGGCTAGCGGCTAGAACCTCAGACTTCCCATTGAGGGTAGGCGCCCCAGCCCTGCTGCCTGACCCTATGGCTGACTTACCCAACATCGCCACATCTCAGGTGGTTTTGAGGCTCAAATAAGATATGAGAGGATGTCAGAAAACCTTAAGCCCCACAGCAGTGTCGTGATCTGTGCTACATGGAATCATACATGTGGATCAAGTCCCTGAAACACACCTCCTGGATATGACACGTACAGTTGTGTCCACCTGTGTGAGACACAAGCATGAACATATCTTTTTTTTTTCCCCCCTTTGGCCGTGCCACACAGCATGCAGAATCTTAGTTCCCCAACCAGGGATCCAGGCCCCAGCAATGAAAGCGCAGAGTACTAACCACTGGACCACCAGGGTATTCCCAGGAACGTGTCTTTTAACAGCAGTGTTAGAGTGGGTTCCTCTGTAACTTTGGGTCACTTCCTAGATAAACAACCCAGACATGCGCGTGCAGATCCTCAAAGATTACGTCAGACAGCACTTCCCTGCCACACCCCTGCTTGACTACGCCCTGGAAGTAGAGAAGATTACCACCTCGAAGGTAAAAAAGAAAATGTCCCTAATGCCCGAATCAGAGTTTTGGCTGAATTTCTTGGGGAAAATGAGAGCCAGGTTACATTTTGACTGTGCAGCTAAAATTGAACCTGGTTTTCTGGAAACTTTTGTTTCTGTTGCTTAACTAAGTTCAACAGGCGTACTAAGTGTCAACGAGGGGTTGGGTCCTTTGCTAGACATTGGGAATTAAGTAAGACACTGTCTCTCCTCATCAACTGGGATGTTTTGGCGGGAGCCTTTTAAATGGCGGTCAGGAATTCGTAGTAATAGTTGTCATGGTAATAGTGGAACATTACGAGGAACAAAAATGAGTAATAATGATAAATACTTGGAATTTTTTTTTGCCTTCCCAGAAGCCAAACCTTATCCTGAATGTAGACGGTTTAATTGGAGTTGCCTTTGTAGACATGCTCAGAAACTGTGGGTCCTTCACTCGGTGAGCTTGCAGCTATTTTCTTCTTCCTGATGCCTACTGATTTTTCTTGTTTCCTCCCAACTCTAAAAGCAGTGCATGCTCATTAGAGAGGATTTAGAAAATATGGAGAGGCATAAAGAAGAAAAAAAGTGCCTCTACACCTACCATCCAGAACATCCCTTTTTTCTACTTTGAGTTCAAAGAGAGCTAGCTTCTCATTCCTGGGCAGAAATTGTCCTTTCTTTGGGGAGGAGGGCAGTCATGTGAGCCATTGTACAACTACAAGCGGACTGTGTGTTGCAGGGAGGAAGCTGATGAATATATTGACATTGGAGCCCTCAATGGCATCTTTGTGCTGGGAAGGAGTATGGGCTTCATTGGTGAGTTGGCAGTAAGAGTTCTGTGTGTTTGTTTTTGTGTTTTTTGTTTCTGTTTCTGTTTTTGTTTGTTTTACCCCATGGTTCAGGTATACCGCTTAACCTATGTGGCCAGTTTCTGTGAGAGGGATGACACGTTGTCTTAATCATTGTTCCTAATCCTTCCTTCCTTAAACTTCTGCCTTATCTTTACCTTTGTTCCTTTGTTCTTGGAAATGAGTTTGATTGCTAGCCCAGGAAAACAGAATGAAGTCCAATAGTTCCCTTTTACCAAGGCTGGCATCTGCCTGTGGGGTGGATCGGGATGTCCTTCCCCGTTTTTTTTGTGTTAGTTAAGATTTCCCTTCCTTATCTCCTCCCCCTCACCAGAATCTTAAAAACTCACCAACTCTTAACAAAGAGATGCGTTTGCTTCATGTTAGGACACTATCTTGATCAGAAGAGGCTGAAGCAGGGGCTGTACCGTCACCCATGGGACGATATCTCCTACGTTCTTCCGGAACACATGAGCATGTAATGGAGCCAGGAGCCCTGCCACAGTAAAGTGAAGACGAGAACGCCTCCCCCCACCCCCGGGAAACAGCCACAGACAGCTGGCACTGGAGCTTGCTTAAAGGGTGGGCCTGGAATGTAAACGGCCACCAGTGTACAGGCACCGAAGACCAACACCCACAGGCTAACACTGTTCAGTCTACACAAAGAAGCTTAATATTTTTTTTATAAGCATAGAAATAAGAACCCAGCCAATACTTGTAACATTTGCTTTGCTACCTGCTGTATTTATTATATGGAAGCATCTAAGCACTGTCAGGATAGTGTTTTTCCTCATTGTAGGGTGTTACAATGTTGCTTTCTTTTTTCCATTAGTTAAAAAAATGTTTTCCCCTTGAAGGAAGGGAATGACACTTTTAAGACCTCAAGATACTCTCCACTTAAAGGACCCCTAATATGTTGTTTTTCCTTTTCGCCCTCCTCATATAACCTGAAGAGCATTGTATTAATCTGATTGTTTTTTTTTTTAGGATCTTTTCGTGTGTTGTGTGTTAAGAGTTTGTTTGGTATCCCCCTGAAATGTTCCATGTTGCAGACCAGTGTCGGGGGGACAGGACCATTGCATCCTTAGCCATTGTTACAGAATATGTGGAGCAGTAATTTAAAATGTAAAGTCGTAACATACATATGTTTAAAATGGAAGCGCAAAGCAAAAAGCTGTGAAATGTCTTGTGTCTTAACATTCTCTGTATTTATGCAACTGCCTTGTCTGTTATCGACTTGTCCTCAGTTTGCATCTGTAATCCACAAAGATTCTGGGCAGCTGCCACCTCAGTCTCTCCTCTGTATTATCATAGCTTGGTTTAAATAAACTATATAGTAACAATGAAAACATACTGCTATCTCATGTCATCCATTTCCTTTCATCTGCATTCCTTTGAAGTGTACTTTCTAATAGTTTTACTACATGTAGTTTTAAAAATGTTCATCCATCTCTTAAAAAAAAAAAGAATCAAAATACTATCTTCAAAAAACCCCCACTATCTTCTCCCGTGAATCTGTACGTTCCATTTCTCAGTGAATGGGAACCAAAGCTTTACTTAGATACTCAAGCCAAAAGCCTGCCTTCACTTCTCTGGTTGCCAAGTCCTGTCGATTTACCCCTCTGATCTACCCATATCTGGTCTGATAACTTAGTGCCCTTAGTTCCACTTTTGTCCCCTTACAGTCCATTCTCCACACAGCCACCAGCGACATTTTAAAACAGGCATCTGATTGAGCCACTCCCTTGCTTAAAGCCCCAAAGTGGCTTTTATTTATCTTTTTAACAAGTATGTATGGAACAGTAACTGTGGACCAAGCACTATGTAAAACACCTGACAAGCATCTCATTTAATCCTCACAGCGATCTTCCAATCTAGATAGTATCCCATTTTTTAGATAAATTAGTTCGGAGATAATAAGTAACTTGCTCACCCGCATCCACTTAACTGGGGCTCAGTCTCGAGTCTTTTTTTTCTTTTTCAATTTTTACTCCAAGGCCATTCTAAACTTTTAAATAAAAATCCAGCGTTGCCACCCAAGACAACACTGGGTGAGGGTCTAAGGGGACTTTTGTTTTACAAAACGATCACGAAGAGCACGCTGCTCTCTAAGGGGATGGAAACAGCCATCCTCCCAAGGGCGTGTGGATGGGCGGCCCCCGGGGAGACAGTCATAACTGGGGAGCAGTACGTTTGCACCTTACCTGAGGGGGACGCGTTAGGGCGGGTGGGGGGCGCATGCGCAGACCCAGCGGCGGCCGGCTCCGCCCCGCGCCCACTATTTATTCCCAGAATCCCTCTGTGTCGCACCAGGACTGCCGGATCCTTCGGGGACTGCGGGGTCGGGGGCGGCGGCGTCAAGATGGCGGCGGCGGCGGTGGCGGCAGCAGCAGCGGCGGCTGCGGCTGCATCTCTGCAGGTGCTAGAGATGGAGAGCATGGAGACGGCCGCCGCCGGCTCGGCGGGGCTGGCCGCCGAAGTCAGAGGCAGCGGCACGGTGGACTTCGGGCCTGGGCCTGGCTTGTCTGCAATGGAGGCGAGCGGGGGCGACCCGGGCCCGGAGGCCGAGGATTTCGAGTGCAGCTCTCACTGCTCGGAGCTGTCATGGAGGCAGAACGAGCAGCGGCGCCAGGGCCTCTTCTGCGACATTACCTTGTGCTTCGGCGGTGCGGGAGGCCGCGAGTTCCGGGCCCATCGCTCGGTGCTGGCCGCCGCCACCGAGTACTTCACGCCCCTGCTCTCGGGCCAGTTCTCCGAGTCCCGCTCGGGCCGGGTGGAGATGCGCAAGTGGAGCTCCGAGCCCGGGCCCGAACCCGACACGGTGGAAGCTGTTATCGAATACATGTACACCGGGCGCATCCGCGTCAGCACGGGCAGTGTGCACGAGGTGCTGGAGTTGGCCGACAGGTAGGTGGCGAAGGCGGGATGTGCAGGGCGGGCGTGGGGATGCTCGCCGACCGAGGGCCGCATCCAGGGAGGGCGCAGGAGAAGGCGGGGAGGGCAGTGTCCAGGGTGGGCTCGAGTGAGCCCTGACGAAGTGCATTCGTTTGATACTTATTGAGCGCCTGCTGTGTGCTGTGGGGCCGCCCCTGCGCTGGGTGCTGAGGTTGCAGCCTGCCAGTCCGGCGAGGGCACCCTGTCAGACTCCAGGTGAAGGGACAAAGGCAATGAAGAAGAAGGTCCGCGTGTAATAAGTACTGTGTTGACATTTAAAAAGGATGAAAGGGGGCTTCCCTGGTGGCGCAGTGGTTGGGAGTCCGCCTGCCGATGCAGGGGACACGGGTTCGTGCCCCGGTCCGGGAAGATCCCACATGCCGCGGAGCGGCTGGGCCCGTGAGCCATGGCCGCTGAGCCTGCGTGTCCGGAGCCTGTGCTCCGCAACGGGAGAGGCCACAACAGTGAGAGGCCCGCGTACCGCAAAAAAAATAAATAAATAAAAATAAAATAAAAAGGATGAAAGGATAGTGATTGCGTAGAGAAAAGATCTTTCTGAGGAGGTGACATTTAAACAGACCTTTAAACGGCAACAGAGTACTGGCCATGCAAACATGGGGAATGACCATTTCTGGCAGATAGCGCAAAGGCCCTTGGGCGGGATCTCATTTGGCTTAGAGAAGAAGTAAAAAAGGAAAACTCAGTGATCTAGTGGGTGAAGGGGAGAAGGGTGTGTGAAATGCGTTGGAAAAAGGAGTTTGGATTTTACTGGGTGATGGGAAGCTGGCTAAAGAAATGATCTGATTTAAATATTTTTAAAGATGATTCTGCTGCTGGGGAAGATGGATTGTAGGGGGCCCAGATGGATGTTCCAGAGACTAGGTAGGAGGCAGGTGAATGCAGTTTGGAGATGGGGCGGAGTCTTTTGGGGCAGTATTATGTTACACATTCGTTATTTGAACAAATACCTATTGAGTACCTATTATGCACCAGTTCAGACACTGGGTTCTAAGCTGCTGGGAATTCAGCAGTGAACAAAACAGACGAAAGTCCCTTTCCACATTGCACTTACATTGGTAGATGGACAATAAACAAAACAGCATGTTAGGTGATTGCTAGAGCTGTTTTGAAAAATGAAGGATGGTGGGGCATATAGAAAGTGCTGGTGTAAAGGAGCTGTTTTTACAATTGGATGGATAGAGAAATCCTTGTGAAGAAGACATTTTGCAAAGAACCGAAGGAAGTGAGGTTAAGGGTGTTTCAGGTTGGGGACACAGGTGCTTGTCCTGAGATGGTGCTTGTCTGGGTGTTAGAGAATAGCAGGAGGCCAGTGTGGCTGAATCAAAGGGATGCAGGGTGAGAGGAGTAGGAGAGGCCTGAAGGTGGTAATGGGGATGGATCCGGATCCCACAGGGCCTTGTCAGCCTGTGGAAGGACTTGGACTCTTACTCTGAATGACATGGGAAGGTTTGGGCTAGAGGAATGATGCAGTCTGCTTTGGAGAATGCTGCTGTGTTGAGAAAAAGGATGAGGTGGTAGGGAAGGGGCTGCAAGGGCAGAAGCAGAGAGACTAGTTTAGGAGGTTGTGGCAATGGTGGTGGAGGTTTGGATTGAGGAGGGAGAAGGAAGAGTGATGAGAAATGCTTTGATTCTAGACATATTTTGAAGGCAGAGGAGATGAATTTGCTGGTGGATTTGATGTGGGGGGTTAGGGAAAAGACTGCTAGTTTTTTGACCCACTGGAAAGATGGAGTTCGTTCATTATTTATTAAGATGTGGAAGACTGCAGGAAAGTGTTTGGGAGGAAAATCAGGAGTTTGGTTTTTGGTCCAGGAAATGTCTAGTAGGCAGTTGTATAGAAGAGCACTGGGAGCTACGGACTGGAAGGAAATTAGCACATAGGTGGTAATTAAAGCCTCGGGACTGGATGAAATTACTTAGGAAGAGAGTCTAGATAGAAAAGAGAAACAGCGGGACTGAGCCCTGGGGTTCTCCAGAATGGTAAAGGGGAACCAGCAGAGGAGACTGATCCCATGGAAGCCTAAAGTGTGTCAAGGAGGGAGTAGCCGATCATGTCAGCTCTGTCAACTGTAAGTGATCATTGGATTTGGTGATAATAGAGGTCCCTGATGGCACTGACAAGAGCCATTTAAGTCTGACTGTCAAGAGGATCAGAGAAATGATACACATGGACATGTGTGGAGAGAAGTCCAGGAAGGTCTTCCCCCCCACCCCCAAGATAGGAGATAGTGGAGCGTGTTTGTGTGCTGATGGAAAATGAATCTGTGGAAGAGGAGAAATTGATGTTATAGGACCAAAGTCCTTGAAACCAAGAAGGGGATAGAATCCATATTAAAAGTGGAGAAGTTGGACTGGGAAGGCAGAGTATAGCGTACAGCTGTTAGGCAGACAGATTGGATAGTGGGAGAGAATTCCCCGGCAGTCCAGTGGTTAGGACTAGGTGCTCTCACTGCCGGGGCCCGGGTTCAATCCCTGGTCGGGGAACTAAGATCCCACAAGCTGCGAGGTGTGGCCAAAAAAAAAAAAAAAGGTAGTGGGAAAATGAAGTTTTTGCCTGGCTGCTTCTGTTTTCTCAAAGCATGAGACTGGGTCATCTATATGAGGATGGGGTTGGGTGGGTGGATGTAGGTCTGAGAGAAGAGAGGGAGGTTTGTTGAATGCAGATGGATAGAGAAGGGTCATTGCACTCATTCAAGCCACGTTTGCTTCTGTCCTGTGAGCTTGTGTTCTTTCAGATTTACTGCTGCTTTACTGGAGAATTGGGGTGAGGAGAGGAGAGAACACCCCAGACAGCTGACTTAAAACTTTAACTTCTCTCCATATTTCAGTTGCTGAGCAGCTGCCTTGTGTTTGGCACTAAGCGTCCTGCAACCATCACATCCAATCTCACCCATCAGCTCTGAGGCAGGATTCCTTTACTACCGCCCCACCTCCCCCCATATACTCTTTCTGTTGATCATACCTACCTCGCAGGCACTTACAACCTGAAGAGATAGTAGGAAGTGCCCAGCATGATGCCTGTCACATGGCACATGCCCAGTATACAGTAGCTATTATTTTCCTAGAGCAGTGTTTCCAAATACCTGTCCAAGGGGATACGTGTCGGCTTACCTGGAGTGCCTGCCAAAAATCAGAAGTAGGGGGTGGGGCAGCCCAGGAGTGAGTGACCCTGGTACCGACATGTTTGAGAGCCACTAGAGCTCTTACCACTCAACCTTGTCTTTGTTTTATGTCTGAGATGGTGTGTTCTCTGGAGAGGGTGAAGGGAGCCTGTCTTGAGATTCATCTTCATATTGCAGTCAGTTATTAAGTACAATAATCACAATAGCAAATGGTTACTGAAGTGAGAGAGGCCTGGACTGATGAAGTCATTCCTTTTTTTTTTTTCTTTTTTGGCCGTGCCAAGCGGCCTGTGGGATCTTGGTTCCCCAACCGGGGATGGAACCCGCGCCCCCTGCAGTGGAAGCACGGAGTCTCAACCACTGGACCCCAGGGAAGTCCCGATGAAGTCGTTCTTACATTATTTAATGTTCTCAGTCCTGGGGACTTACTCTTTAGCAGTGGTCTCAAATTGGCCACCCTTGGGGCTGAATTCTGCCAGATTAATTTATGTGAGCAAACAACATCTAGTCAGCTACATGCCAAACTACTTTCTTTACTTTTGTAACGTGGACCATCCTACACGTTTTCTGTTGTTGTTTTAGTTCCTGGCTTCTTCAGATGTTTTCGTTTGCCTTGCCTCACCTGCTTTAATGAGAACCCAGCTCAGGACAAACCCCTGAGCACCACCCCCGCCCCCACCCCTGGGCTACTCAAGGAGAAAGCTCTGGTGAAGAGAAGATTAAAACCTCTGACACAAAGCCTGCACCGCCATTCCCTCTGAGAGCTGACCAAACAGCCTCCCAGGAGTCACAGTTCCTGTACCATGTAGCTGATGCTAAAGAAATTCTCTTCACTGAGACCCAGCCTCATCTAAGAAGAGGCTGGTTGCTGGCAAAGGACTAGGGCGGGATGGCAGAGACAAGTTTGGATAGGGATTTGCCTTTGCCAAGGGCAAGTTAAAGTGGAAATAAAGTATGGGACTGTTGTACTTTATTGAAGGATATGTTCTGAAACACCTTACATAATCAAAAATTCTGTGTGTGTGTGTATTATACATACTTTGTGTAATATATAATACATATAAACTATCTAATGGTAATAATTTAAAATATATGAAGATGATTTTTATATATGCTTTTAAACCTACTTTTCAGCACAATCCTTTTTAATTTGGGAGGCTATGCTTTTTTCAGGTGTTGTGCATGAAGTGAGATGAAGCTTACATTTCAGTTTATAATTCAGATGCTCTCGAAAGTACAGCCACATAAAATATGCACATTTGAAAATTCTTTCTCTTTTTCTTGATTTTAGGTTCCTATTAATTCGTTTAAAAGAATTTTGTGGAGAATTTCTCAAGAAAAAACTTCATCTGTCTAATTGTGTGGCCATTCATAGTTTAGCTCACATGTATACTCTAAGCCAACTTGCTCTGAAAGCTGCGGATATGATACGGAGAAACTTCCACAAAGTAATTCAGGATGAGGAATTTTATACTTTACCTTTCCACCTCATTCGAGACTGGCTGTCAGACTTGGAGATTACAGTTGATTCTGAAGAGGTTCTATTTGAAACAGTTTTGAAATGGGTTCAGAGAAATGCTGAAGAGAGAGAGAGATACTTTGAAGAACTCTTTAAATTGCTCAGATTGTCCCAGATGAAACCTACTTACCTTACTCGTCATGTCAAACCAGAGAGGCTGGTGGCCAATAATGAAGTTTGTGTCAAGTTAGTGGCCGATGCAGTGGAGAGGCATGCTCTTAGAGCCGAGAATATACAGTCTGGCACGTTCCAGCATCCTGCTTCTCATGTCTCATTATTACCTCGCTATGGGCAGAACATGGACGTGATCATGGTTATTGGAGGCGTGTCAGAAGGAGGGGACTATTTAAGTGAATGTGTGGGATATTTTGTCGATGAGGACAGATGGGTAAACCTACCCCATATTCATAATCACCTTGATGGACATGCTGTTGCAGTAACAGAATCCTACGTGTATGTTGCTGGGTCAATGGAACCAGGGTTTGCTAAAACTGTGGAAAGGTATAACCCAAACTTGAATACCTGGGAACACGTTTGTAGTCTGATGACAAGGAAGCATTCTTTTGGACTAACAGAAGTCAAAGGGAAGCTATACAGCATTGGAGGACATGGCAACTTCAGTCCTGGTTTTAAAGATGTGACTGTTTATAATCCCGAGCTTGATAAATGGCACAACTTGGAATCAGCACCAAAGATTCTTCGAGATGTTAAAGCACTAGCCATTGAAGACCGGTTTGTGTACATCGCTGCCCGCACTCCTGTGGACCGGGACACTGAAGATGGATTAAAGGCTGTCATCACTTGTTATGATACGGAGACTCGACAGTGGCAAGATGTGGAATCTTTGCCACTTATTGACAATTACTGCTTTTTCCAAATGTCTGTGGTCAATTCAAACTTTTATCAGACAGCCTCATGCTGTCCCAAGAGTTATTCTTTAGAAAATGAAGAGGCAGTAAGAAAAATTGCCAGCCAGGTTTCCGATGAGATCCTTGAAAGCTTACCTCCAGAAGTCCTAAGCATCGAAGGAGCGGCCATTTGCTATTACAAAGATGACGTTTTCATTATTGGAGGCTGGAAAAACAGTGATGATATTGACAAACAGTATCGGAAAGAAGCTTACCGATATTGTGCCGAGAGAAAGAGGTGGATGCTTCTTCCTCCCATGCCACAGCCTCGTTGTAGAGCCACTGCCTGCCATGTGAGAATCCCATACCGGTACTTGCATGGCACTCAGAGATATCCTATGCCTCAGAACTTAATGTGGCAGAAGGACCGGATCAGACAGATGCAAGAAATACATCGACACGCCCTAAACATGCGACGAGTGCCAAGCTCTCAGATAGAATGCTAGGTTCTCTGATATGCGCAGCTCAAAACAGTTATACCTGTTCATGAGGCTGAAGATACGCAGACTGTTACTTGAAAAAGTATGTCAATAACTTATTTTCTACATGAACTGATTATCGCCCCATATAAAGGAAATATAGTCAAAAACTGAAGAATGGGAAGATCAATTCAATACATGGTAATTTTTGTTAGTTTGCAGTCTTTATCCATCTTTGGTTTGTGTGTGTATTAGCTGAATAAGATCTTACTAAAGATAAGTGGAAAAACCAGGTGTGGTTACTTGACTGTTTGTCTGCCAGCAAGTTTTAACTCCTTTGTCTTAGGGTCTTATGTTTTGAACATGCTTTAAGCACCAGTTATATTTGCACATTTACTTTGATAATCTTTTTCATTCTTTTCCCGAATGGTTGGTTTTGACAAGATCAGAATTTATGCATTGAGCCGTCATCTACAGGAGGTATGTGCAATAGTGAGATTGAAATTTGAAGGAAAAAGCACAATATTTCAGCAAGGTGATTTCAGAATGTTTGCATTGATACTTTTTTATATTTGTTTATCTACAAAAGCTGTCTTGTTTATTTCTAGAAGAGATGATTGATAAGAAATTTGTGATTGGCTCATGCATTTTTTGAGTATTTTTCATTTCTTTAGCAGCTTCAAGTCATCACTCTGAGACAGTGGTAGTTGGCAAGAGTACTGATCTTTAGCTGACTGATTGAATACAGAGGAAGTTATATCTGTGAAATTTATTTCTCTAAGAAGAAATGTATTATTAGTCTAGAGTAAGAAATCAAAGGCACCGAAAAATTTAAAAACGCTTTTTTCGGGAGTTGCAGGCTTATTTGAAGATAAATTAATGAGTGTAAATAATGCCAAGGACAATCGACACAATGCCTTCAATTTTAAATTTTGCTGTGATGCATATTGTATGGAATCCTTACCATTCCTTTCTAAAAGAAACTTTTTTCAAAATGGGAAGGCAGTAACAATTTAGAGAAATGTTGCTGAAGAGAAGCCTTATTATTTCTCAGCCTGGATTATTACAATGTTTTATCCAGTTGCCCTAGACTTTCATTGGAACTTTGCCTGAGCCTAGAACACTACATTTGGGCGCATAATTATGGCTCTTAAAAATTTATCACTGTGGTTATCTTTTATTTATTTTTATGCATTCTTCTGATATTCTTATCTGCGCCCAGGCTTTATGCAAATTAGCACTTAGGTTGACTTTTAGCACTCAGTTAACATAAGGGACTCCTGCTCTAACGGTTTGAAGTGTGGGTCCAGTATACTTTTCTTGTTTCTTTCAGAATGTCTCTACCTTCTTAGACATTCTGGAATACCATTCTAGAAGGTGAATTCCAAGTACAGTGATTTTTTTTTTTTTCCCCTAGTCCATTATAGTTAATCTTATTAGTTGGATCAAACATCAAAAGGAAAAAAAGCACAACCAGGAATTTTGGCTCTCAGTGTGCTGTGAGACTATTGATGTTTAGCCCTTAGACTCTATACTAAGAACTTAACTGAAATTTCTGAATTGGTATCCCTGCCTAGGACAAAGTTTTTCAATAATGTGTTGGAAATCTGCTTTAAAACCATTTAATTTAGGCTGGGGTAGGGATGGGAGACTGCAAGTCTAGCGGCCATGGCTCACGGGCACAGCCGCTCCGCGGCATGTGGGACCTTCCCGGACCGGGGCACGAACCCGTGTCCCCTGCATCGGCAGGCGGACCCTCAACCACTGCGCCACCAGGGAAGCCCTGCAAGTCTATTTCTATATGAGGATATATTATCCTACCCCACCTCTACTGGTTTCTTAATTTCCATTTATTTGTAGTTATTTTAATAAAAGCTATTTGGATTCTGAGAAGTGCTAAGTAGTTGTGAGAGGTCTATGCAAGTAAGACAGAAAAGCTCATTGAATGAAGTTCTCATTTCTCTCTGATAGACTGTGCTAGCAAACTGCCTTTTCTTGGTGCTGTTGAAATAATTTAGTAGCTCACTAAGGTGCCAGTTTCTCTCCAGAAGGGTGTAAGGTTTTTGATTGCCTTTTTTTTTTTTTTTTTTTTTTGTCTCAGAGTTGTCTTCTGAGACAGTCATTACCAAGTTATTTGTAGGGTTATCTTTTTTTCACATGATGTGGCGGAAGTCATAACTCATAAGATTTAGGTATAATCTGGTTTTGAAAACGTGATTGAAACTGTTGTTTTTTAACTCGGCAGGCAGCCTAGGCCTTGGCTGGAAAGAGAGGGTAAGTCCTTCCTTCCTTGCATGATGATGTGTGCAGGGTTCCTGACTACTGAATTCCTAATTTTCATATTTGAATTCACATGTGTGATTTCACATCAGTAACTTGTGTTTCTGAAATATCCTAACTAACTTGTTAATAAGGAAAGAAACCAGATTTGCTTAAATCTGTTCAAGGCTGACATTCTGAAATTCTAAACTGGAAATAACTTCCTACAGTATTTGGAAAGGTTCTGATTATGGTGACCAGCCTAAAATGGCTCTCTGGGAAAGAAATTTCCTTTTCGATGAAAACTTAAAGATGGTGTTTGATAACTTAAGAAGTTAAAAATACAGCTTTAAAAAGACAGCTTAATATGTATTCAAGCAAACCTTTTTTGCTTTTGTTTTTGTTTTGTAGAAGGAAAAGAGAGGAATTGATTATACCAAAAAGTAATAACTCTATGAGTGAGGCTGCTTAGATCTTAGAATGGATATCCTTTAACTATACCTACCCCACCACGGTTTAAAAAAAAAAAAATCAGTGTATATATTGAGAATGTCAGTCATGAGCTTAGTGTTTAAGTAATACATCTCACTTGCAGTTGTTTGCATGATGTCTTGTGTATCTTGATACCCAACTTTGCTTTTGCTGTGCCAACTCAAAACTACTTTGCTAAAAAAAAAAAAAAAAAAAAAAACCCTCAAAATTCATTGACATCAGTTTTGTCTTGATTACTTGATTTTGTATTGTATTTCTGGGACCAAAAAAATTTTGAAATCTTTTTTTATGTAGGACAGAAGTTTGAAGAGATAGAAAGATAGTGTTTATGGCAGATTTCTGTTCTTCTGTATATTAAACTCCTCAGGCTGCTGGTAAGGCAGTTTCTAGGGCACACTTTTTTTCCGTCTTTATGTTTCTTGCTAGTGTAGACGTGGTATGTGTAAATACTTCATTCTCTGCTTCATAATTCTAATATGAACACTATACTATTGGTAGACACATAAGCTGAATTGTATATTTTAGTTACTTGGCCTAATCGAGCATAACCAAAGGGAGGTTTTTTTGTACTTGCCTCAAACTAAGTGTATCGGCCACATTTCACATCTTTTCCAAATATGTAGAATTGTGAAGCAAGTTCTCTGCCTACACTAGAAACATAGGGTGTGTATAGGTTGTCATTTAAGTGTAGAATATTTGGAGAAACAATTCAGTCTCTCCTTTTTTTAAACTGTTAAACATTCTGTCACAGTTCATCACTCCAGTTTGTTACTTTCTTGAGAATAGTCCATTTTTGTTTTTGTTATAATGCTTACTATTATAATATGTTTTGGTCATTGGAAACAAAACAGCTCATAGTCGTGATGTAATACAATAACATAATCGTCATTTTGCTTCAAGGAATTTAATTAGATAGCCAAATAACCACTCTTTGTTGATTACCTTCGTAGGGCTTTTGTCTTACTCTCCATGACCATTACTGGAAATGTCTGACAGTGAAGCACATACAATAGAGCACTTGTTAACTTAATCCTCCTGCATAATGCACTCCTGAAAAGTAGTGCTTGCTACATGGTTGAAGATCTTATGATCCATGTGCTGGGGTTCTTTGAGTTATTTGTAAAATAAATATTTAGTTCCAGTTGATATAGTGAGTTTTCTGGGCTGACAGTATCAAGCCCCTATCTACTGCAAGTATAATCTTGACTGCCCCCCCCTTAAGTCAGAGGAGATGTAGAATTTAGGACACTTTGAGACATTACATTGTAAAATAGCTTGTTTTATGTTCCTAAAGCTATCTTGTTCTGTGTTATAGCTACTAATCATCTCAATGTAAGTTTTAAATAAATGTATTTCTTTAGAGCTGATTTGCACTGTGATTTTTCCTTCTTAACTCTGCACCATTGAATATAATTGCTTTCTTCCTCCCCTCTTATTCCCTTCAGTCATGCAACCCTTGGCTCCCTTAAGTTGGACATTTTCCAATACTCTTACAAGTTTAAACACTGCATTTATTTAAAAGAAAGAATTCTTATTGCTTGCTTAGACTTTTTATTAGCTAAGTGAAGAGGCTCATACAGGTAGGGTACTTGTCGAGGCGGAATGCCTTACTTCGTCACGCAGTGCTGATCCTGTGAAGTTGCCTCGTCTAGCTGCGTATTCCTCAACATTGGCCAGCCCTGGTACCACACAGCAGCTCAGAGCACTGCGGTATATACTCATGTCATGAGCATCATACCACTCTTCGGTCTTTTCATCATAGCACTCAACATTAAAGGTGGTGGTAAAGCCATTAAAGCCACCCGCCACAAACAAGAGGTCGTCTACCACCCCGATACCAAAATTGCTACGAGGAGTAAACATGGTGGGGATTGTGCGCCAGATGTTAGCCGCTGGGCTGTAGACTTCTGCACTCCTAAGTCGATTAGCTCCATCAAAGCCGCCTACCTGTGGACAGCAGAGGAAACACAGCTGGCTGTTAACCATCGCTTCTGTTGGCTGAGGATGCCCTCTTCGGGGCTTGGCGGGGCACCAGTCATTTCATACCTCCCTCTTCCACTATCTTCCATGGAAAGAAGCTTTCAGATTCTTCCCAGTGGTAGTGTAAACCTATTTGCTAATAGGAAATCTAGGGCTATAATTTTTGTTGTACAAAAGGAACTCACCGCATATACGTGTTCTCCATAAGCAATTACGCCTATTCCACTCCTCCTGCTTCTCATGGGTGCTATGACTGTCCACTGATTACTCTCAGCGTTGTACACTTCTGCCGTTGACAGGCATTCATTTCCGTTAAACCCGCCACATATGTAGACCTGTGTGAAGAGAGTTCCAAGATTATTAAAACTGGGGAGTAGAAAGAAAGGGTGTGTATATGGTGGTGGCTGGGGGCAGGGGACACTTCTGATGCCAGTCTTCAGTCTGAGTTTCTTTTTTCCACATGTGCATGCATCGCTTTTTAATAAGTAAAATCAGAAAAGATAGTCATTTGATGAAGGAGTTAGTATTTGCAAAGTGAATACTGCCAATACTGCCACTTCTGTTTTCCATCCATTATTTCCAGGCCTGTTTGCTTTCACATCTCCTAACCCCAGCTTCCCCCGGGGTCTTACCTTTCCATGGAGTGTTGTGGCACTCGCATCACTCCTCTGTTCATGCATGGGGGCAATGAGTGTCCATTGGTTGGTCTCTGGCTCATAACGTTCAGCAGTGTTGAGACGCACATAGCCATCAAATCCTCCCATGGCATAAATAAAATTACCGAGGACTGTCACGCTGACATAGCAACGCTTGGAGTGCATCGGGGATACCTGGTGCCATGTTTTCTTGACTGGGTTAAAACGCTTGACACTATTGAAATAGTCTATACTATCGAACCCCCCAATGATATAAACATAGCCTTTCAAATAAGCTGTCCCGTGGTAGGCACGAGGACTCTCTTCCTCACAAGTGACATTCAGCCATCTGTCTGCCCGAGCATCATATGCCTCAATGGTATTGGTGGGGCTCCCACCACTCCAGCCACCAATTGCAAATAGGATGGCGTAGGGCAGGCGGGGCCTGGTGAGTGGGTTGGTGAAGTCAGAATTAGAAGATCCGTTCATGTTTAGGTCATACATGGCCTTCAGTGCATTAATGATGACTGGCTTGCATTCCTCGCTGTCTTTGACATAGTCATTCATCTTAACATTGGTCATGAAGTATTCAGCATGCATTAGACCCAGGCGAACCTAAGAAGGAAATAGAGAAAGTCATTCAGATGAGGTATGGTGTCTGGAAAACCCATGTCCTTAAGCCCGCAGTTTTACAGTCTCCTCTGAACGCAGTAGGACCATGTTTTGTTTTGTTTTTGTAATTTACAGCTCACAGTTTAAATATTTGTGTTTTGGAGGTGGTATACATTGGATGCTGAGAATGAGCGAGATAGAAGCCACCTCAAATGGTCACAGAGCTAGTCCATTCCTTGGCCCCTGGACAGGACTATTAGACCAGAAAAAGCTGTGGTCATTGTTCAGTAATTGGATATCTATGTCTCTATATGTAAAATAACATGAATTAGCACCAAATGGCTACAATTGAGTGCAATACTCATGATCTGGTTTCTTGTCCAACTCCTGTTTTGGTTGGTTGGGGAAACTCACAGAAGGAAAGGGGTGAGAGGAGGACCCTTTAGAATTCTTTTGAAGGCCTGCCCTCTCCTTCCCCCACTACCAGGGAGGATCTTGGTCAAAGAATATAACTGGAGCAGAAGGAACTAGCAATGTCAAGGGCAAAGAAAATTGCAAAATTCCAGAGAATAGCAGGGGATGCCTTCTGTAGATGTACATATGTAAGTATATGTAAGTATAACTACAGCCTCGGAATCTGTCAAACATCTGAGTATGGCTCTTGGGACAATCCCTCTGGGATAAATGAATCAAAAGTGAGCAATTAAGGGAATTCTCTGGCAGTCCAGTGGTTAGGACTCCGAGCTTCCACTGCAGGGGCATGGGTTCGATCCCCGGTTGTGGAACTAAGATCCCACAAACCATGTGGCACAGGCAAAAAAAAAAAAAGCAGTTAAGCATCCCACAAAAGAATAACTAAACGACCTTGGGAAGCAAGACTGAAATATGCTGCTTCCTATTTTGGGGGTCATAAGAAGTCCATTTTACAATGGCCTCAAATACAGCATCTTCTTGTTTGACGTTGAGCTCATCTTTCTCAATGATATCCTTAAGTTCAGTGACTGAGAGCTCTAAAAACTCTTCTGAGACTTTCACCATCTCCTCAAAGTTGTGCAGTATGAACGTGTAGGTCTTCCGCCGCAGCTCAGGGCAGTAGATGTAGTCTGTGAACTTGCAGATGCCGATACAATTATCCAAACACAGCTCCGACTCGAGGAACTCACAGCAAGCCCTGACAATACCCATGATGTTAAATTGGTCTGCAGCAACCAGCAGGTTCTCCATGTTGTCTGGTGTGATGGGGACGGTCCGGGTGTACGCATATTCGATAATTAGCTTCATCATGTCGGGGGTAATGCCAGGGATGTTGTATACCTTCTTTTCAATGTTGTTCCAGCCACTTGTAAACAAAGCTCTGGAAGAAAGAAAGAAACTAGCAGTCACTGAAATATTTCTCTCTAGTTTGCCATGTTCCCTACCCCCGCCACCTTCTCTTGTTGTGGAAAATCTGGACATTTTCCAAATAGTGTGCACGATCAGTGAATTGGAAATAAATTGGCGTGAGGAAGCGGGGGAAGGAGGGTAGGTTTTATACAGTGGTCAAGAGAACCTTTCCAAGAACTTTGACTTTGGTCACTTTTATTCCTATCTTCATGATAAGTAGGCCTTTTCCCATTTGGTGGATGGAGAAACTGGTATCTACAGCTGGGAGTAAGACCCAGGTCTTTTTCTGTCTCAGCCCATTGCCCACCAAATTCTATCTTAATTAAGGAAATTAAACTTGAGCAAATACGCTTTTAAAACAAGTATTATTGGGCTTCCCTGGTGGCTCAGTGGTTGAGAGTCCGCCTGCCGATTGGGGGGACACGGGTTCGTGCCCCGGTCTGGGAAGATCCCACATGCCGCCGAGCGGCTGGGCCCGTGAGCCATGGCCACTGAGCCTGCGCGTCCGGAGCCTGTGCTCCGCAACGGGAGAGGCCGCACCAGTGAGAGGCCCGCGTACCGCAAAAAAACAAAACAAAAAAAACCAAGTA